TATTTGAATATATTACTCTTATTTTTTTAAAGACTTAGTTAAACTAATTTTTTTTATTTTCACCCCTTTTTATGGAGCTTTTACCCCTCTTAAAAAATTATTTGAATATATTATTCTTATTTTTTTAAAGACTTAGTTAAACTAATTTTTTTTATTTTCACCCCTTTTTATGGAGCTTTTACCCCTCTTAAAAGAAAAACCGATGAAAATTTTATTGCTTATGTTAAGAATTAGAGTAATGAGAGGCAAATAACCTATTTTTAGAATTTTTCTCTATAAGTTTTGCATGGTATATGAATGAAAACATAAAATATTAAAAATTTTAATAAAGTTAAATGAGCTAATTATTAATAAAAAATATATAAAAATTTATTTATTAATCAATATTTTAAAAAATATTTCTTTTTTAAGGTTATGTATCCTAATTTTTATCTTTTTGTGTGCTTCCTATTTCTTGCGTACCATGATGAGAAAAAGAAGATTTTTTTTTTTACTTTTTAAAACAAGATACAAGGTATTTTTATTTTTACCCACTAAAGAATTAAATACTAGCATGTTAATTTGGAAGGTTAATTAATACTAGAAAAGGATGTAACTATTATTTCTTTTTTAATTCAATTAAAAATAAGTCACTTATGAGTTATACAGTAAAGGAGTTTAAAATTAATAATTAGTGATTTTATTCAAATCATTAAAAATAAGTATTTGATCCATTTATTTACTTCGAAATCATTATAAATTAGATGTTTGTTAAAATTTTTTATTTAATGATTTAGAACTAGCAAATATCTATTAGGATTTATACAGTTAGTAAATTAAAAAAATTATTTAACATAACTTTTTGTACCAAACATCAATGGATTAAAATTTTTTAATTTTATTGATAAATTTATTTTTTTAATTTTTGTGCCACAATTTTTAATTAGTACTTATCTAATTTGTTTTAACTTTATTTTTTTTGTCTTTAATAATATTAAATAATTATTATATTTTTATTTTTATTTTAATTTATCATAAAAAATTTATTAATTTAATAAACGCAATTTATTAATTAGATGAAATAATTAAAATTTAATTTAAAATTTAAAATTTTATCTTATTAAATATTAAAATTTGATTTAAAAAGTTTTAATTTTCAATTATTAGTTTTAGTTTTTAATAATTACAAAATTTATAAAAACCAAAATAAAAAATCTAAA